TTGTAATGTCCACCTCATGACCTCTATCAAAGAAATGCCTAGAAATGGCATTATTGTAAGTGTTTTTCCCTTGAAACGTAGTCATTTTTCTATGGTCAGATACCCCTTTGATATCGGTCGCGAAGTGGACATCACAAAATTCTTTAAAATTATCAACAGGCAAAATAGTTTTATTCACCTCAAGGTTGCCGAAACAATCTCCATCAAGCGCGTAAAACCTGATTTATGCGTTCAGGAAGAGGCGGTTATCAGTCTTTTCTTGCCACCCTGGTTTTCATTCTCTCTTTCATTTGATTACGCAACACTGAGAATCCCATTGTGTGTGATTATTATTGTTGTTTGAAATGAAGTGATTATTATTACCATTGTACGCTTACATGGATTTTTTTGTTTAAACCTGAACTCTCCAGGTTATTCTGTTGTTCTTGCTTTATTCATATTCATAAAGGGAAATAAATTTTCTGAAATAATACTATATTTATAGTTTGAAAAATATGGTGAAAATAAAGTAGTACAATGTTTCACAATGTTTTGTTTTATACTCCGTGAACATTGATTGTATAATTAAAACAAACTGGTTGACATATATGTTTATCATAGTTGTCATAGTTTTATTTGTGTAATTTAAATTAACTCGCCAGTTCGATAAAAAATTAAGGCAACTTACAGTGTCAGAGGTTATGTATGAACTGTGGAGGGTATTTAGTTGGGATGACAGGCAGAATTTCACATTTCAAATTTTAAGCTGTTCAATAGGGTTTAAAAAGTTATAGTAAATTTATCAGTTTTAAACAAATCTGTTAAAGATCATTTCAAAATTGAAAAAAAAGGATTCGCTTTTTTTGTCACTCAAAATTTATTTATTTATTTACACTTCTGGTAAATAAATATTCACACTTGTTAAACAATAAGAAAGTTTGTAAATATGATGTGTATGCATAAACACAAACACACACACACACACAGTTCAATGTTCAACAAATTCTAATGTTTATTGACATGATGCTATGCATGAAAACAAAGATCATCAAAAGATAACATAAAGCTTTAATTTATACTTCCTGTAGTTCAAGGTTGTTTTGTCCAAAATAGAGGTAGTACACCAAAGCTGCAATCCATTCTCATGTAGTTCTCTGATATTTGAAACATTTATTTCTGGATACAAATTTAAAAGAGGCAACAAAAGTTGCTAATAAAGCAGGATTTACTGAATTCATCAAATTTCGGTTCATTTACACCACTTAGATAAATAATTAGATCAGTGAGTGAAAGAACCTGAATATATCAAGAATTTCGAATTAAATGATATTATGATAACAATAGTAGTGCTTAGAATAGTAATAATAATAAGTTACATCATCCTGAAGAGAATAAAAGGTGGAATGGATTCAGAAATGCGCCAGCCCGGAACAAGCGGGATTCAGGAAAAGAAAATCATGCGAGGATCACATTGCAACTCTACGCATCATAATCACAGAACAAAGCATAGAATGACAATCAAACCTGTACATAAAATTCATCGACTTTGAAAAGGCCTTCGACAGACAGCGTTGACCAAGAAGTAATTTGGAAACTGCTTCAACACTATGGCGTGCAGCACCGCAAATCTTCATCATCCTCATTCAACAGTTAGCTATATGGCAGTGCCACGTGTCAGGTGATCCACAACGGAAAACTCAATGAGGCGTTCAAAGTGAACACAGGAGTAAGACAAAGCTTCCCGCTATGACAACCTAAGATGTTCTTAATTGTAGTGGACCGCATTATCTGTCAGACTGTGCAGGGGGAGTGAGAAGATAGGAATCTGCTACACTGACCAATACGAAGACTCTGGAAGACTTGTATTCAGCTGATGACTTATGTTTAAAGTGACACAAACTCGAAGACTTGTAGGCGAAAACCAACAAACTGGCTGAAGAGGCTGGCTGGTAGCGAAGACAGGACTCCACGTGAACATAGAGAAGACAAAGGTGATGAAGATGACGAACTAATAGCAACAACAACAACCAGCACCAATCACCATCAAAAGGAGAGATTTGTTAGAGGATTCTTCCTTCACTTATCTGGTTAGGAAGTACGGTATCAACCTCAGGCCATCGGAACGAATGGAGATGTTAAAGCAGATCGGAATCGTAAAGGAGAGATACGCCATCATCAACCGGAATCCAGTATAGAAATCTTCTCCACTCAACACAAATGTGAAGTCAGTCAGTGCTTCTATACGTGTCAGATACTTGCACTGTGTATCACGAGAAGGATTTCCAACAAGTTACAGACTTTTATCAACAGTAATCATATTCTCCGGCTCCATATTGAAGATCAGATGGCTGACAAGTCAGAAAGAATTAGTAACAAGAAACTGTGGCAACAAAATAACCAAGAGAACACACAACTTTTTTGTGCGTGAGTGACTTGATATGATTATGAGCAATAATTTGTGCTCGAAACATCATCAGTTAATATTATTGTACAACACTATGTGATTTATCAGAATAAAATCTTATCCATATATACATATATATATATATATGTATGGTTTCTTTAAATTTACAGAAAGGTGGGAATACATATAATACTAATAGTAGTATGAAATGTGGTTAAAATATTTTTGATTACAATCATAGTTAAATATCAAGGGTCAAGTGACAAAACAATTAGTGTCACATATAAAATAATTCATAAGATGTATAGATTTTGGAGTGCGTCGGTGGCATAGTGGTTAGGATGCTCGCCGACCATGCACGTAGTCCGGGGTTCGATCCCCGACCGACGCACTCCTTTACCTCGCTAGGCCAGAAATAATGCTGGTGAAGAGGAAAGGTTGGGCATGAGGCTAGCAACCCCATCCTGTAAAAATAAACACTGCTAAAGAAACTTCAAGCCTCTAGCTTGAAGCCCTATGTTCCACTGGGAACGTGAAGGAATAAAAAAATTGATTTTGGAAGGGGGTGCATAATTATAGGATTAGTAGGCAAATACAAAACATTAAATAACGTCACCTGAAATTTGATAAAACAGAATTTAAAAATGCGGAAAATTTTGATTTAGAATGGCAAGTAAGAGAAGTTGAAAGAGTTCAAAGTAAGGATAGTGATAGTAACAATAATAATGATAATCGTAGTAATGAGGGTAAGGTACGTAGACTAACTAAATGAACAAAATAAGTTATTAAATAAATGCCTATCCCTCTACGGCCAAGGTATAAATAGGGATTGCACATACTTCTTTTGCATATACACGTCTGGTTCAAATTCAAGAAGGGCCAACGCCTCCGCTGTCTTTAGAAGTCTGTAACGAAGAAATCGCGGGCGGCAAGTTAGCATGAATTTGTTAAATGATCTTAAAATCATGGTCAGGATTGGGAGAGTGACAGGAGTGGATCAGTTGTTACAGAAGAGAGCCTCGCACTTCCTTCCTTTCTCCTTGTAAAACCACACTGGAATTTTTTCTCGTATCCGTCTTTGTGGAAAGCATTCTCTGGCGACGGCCAATGTACCTTGCTCTACAAGTGCACTTGGACTAACAGATGCAAATGGAGACGGCCAGAGGACGAAGCTTATCTTTTTCTGAGACGGAGGACAATTTACGTATGGTGAAAGTCATTTGTAATTTTGTAGCAAAGCAAGTCTTAATGACTGATTTAGACCGACGATTTTCAATCTGAAGCCTGACCACCTAATTTCTTATTTTTATTCCTTCACGTCCCCAGTGGAACATAGGGCTTCAAGCTAGAGACTTGAAGTTTCTGTAGCAGTGTTTATTTTTACAGGATGGGCTGGCTAGCCTCATGCCCAACCTTTCCTCTTCACCAGCTTTAGTTCTGGCTTAGCGAGGTAAAGGAGTGCGCCGGCCGGGTGGTAGTTCCAAATTGATGAATGTCGTTTTATTGGTTGGGGGATTTCATCATCAGCTGACATCAGTTAGAGAACCATTAGAAAACCACCTGGGAGTACTGGACAGTTGTTTCGTCACCCTAGTTTGGGACTCTTCAGCAGTACGGATCCACCACAACGATTCGAACCCAGGACCTTCTGGTTATGAGGCTAGCTAGCTCATAGACCATTAAGCCACTGGGACCCGATCCAATGCCCAGCCCATTAATTCCAACTTCTGCCAACTCATCACACTGCACGACCATTATCCAGTGTCTTCTTCGATGAGTAACTGCCCTCACCTTTGACGTGCTGTACCCTACTGGTCACGACTTTCCACTAGAACACCGGGTTACTGCGTGAGTAGGGTCAGTCGCTAGTGAGCGTTTGTAATAGCCAGCAAAAACCTGAGTTACTCAGCTATTTGAGTTGAGTTGATCCCGATTCACCGTTGATAAAATCGACTTGGAATAAGTGAACCAGCTATGAAGGTGAGGCAGTAACTCATCGAAGAGTACATTGCGAAATGGTCGCGCTATGTCATGAATTGGCAGAAGTTAGAATTCATGGGCTGACCATTGGATGGGGTCCCAGTGGCTGAATGGTCTTGGAGCTAGCCTTGTAATCAGAAGATCCTTGGTTCGAACCCCTGTGGTGGGTGCGTACTGCTGAAGAGTCCCAACCTAGGGTGGCGAAACAGCGTCCAGTACTCCCACGATTTCCAGTGGTTCTCTAACTGATGTTAGCCCATGATGAAATCCTCCAACCAATGAAACTAAATCCCTACAAAAGCCAATACTTGAATATAGTTTTCTTGAGAACTGAGTTGCTGACCTGTTTGGACTGCTTACCTTTCATGTTTTTGTCAATAAATCAGTTCAGATAATCCTTTTTTGCAAGTGTGGCTTTCATTAAGGAAAGTTCAGAGTCAATGCAGTCAAAACTACAAATATTTTTTTTATCTTAAAGCAGAGTGTGAGTGAATTTAAAAACCATTTATATATATGCGACTGGATATTGTATTCTTAAATTTATAATTTTTTTAAGAATCTTTTTCAAATTATTTTCTATTTAATATTCATAAATGAACCTTTATTATTATTTTTTCACACATCCAAACACACATAGGTGATCTTCCTGAGACCATCGAAAATAATTGATAATTATTATGAGAAGAAATCAATTTTTTATTTATTTATTTATTCATCTGTTAATTCAATATTCAATGGCTGTGAATATTCCTTTGAGCATTACAATTTCTTCTCCGACACAAGCTAACAAGCTAACAAACAAACACACACACATATATAAACTTACATACACATACATAGACAATACAGTCTATATCAATACCAGGTAAGATGTTCATTTCTGTTTTTGTAAATTGTTTCACAATGTAATATTTACTATATTGTTTACTGATATAGATCGACGTTATTAAGTGAACACGGATGATTTTCGGTATATTTGTTCATGAAACTTGTATTTAAATCAATAGATATTACACTGATGACGTTAATAGTTATAACAATCGCTTTATTCTGAACAGTGTACAGAGTTTCCAGGGGAAATTATTGCCTCATTATTATTATATTATTATTCCCTTGGGTTCCTAGTGGAACATAGGGCTTCAACTACACGACTCCACTTGCTTCTGTCTTCTGCTGTACTTTTCCCCTGCATCCATTTTAGTCCATACTGTTTCAACTCGCCTTCACACGATCTCCTCCATGTCACCCTTGCACCGACGTCCCACTCGCCGCTTCCCTTTCGGGTTCCACTCGAGGTATGGCCTGACGCGCGATGTCACCCGGCGGCCTCCTCAGCGAGTGTCCAATCCATCTCCACTTTCTCCCGCATATTTGTTGGGCGATTGGTTCTCGTTTTGTTTGTTCCCATAGTTTCTTGTTGGTGATTCTTTCCGGCCATCTGATCTTCAATATAGAGCCAGCGAAGACAGTTGTTGATAAAGGTCTGCGACAGGCTGTTGGAAATATTCTTTGTGACCCACTGGCCAAGTTTCTGATCCGTATAGAAGAACTGACTGACTTGACGTTTGTATTGAAGATCCGAATTTTGTTGTTGATGCTGAGTGACGAAGATTACCAGATTGGTTTCAGGTTGATGAATGTGTAATCTATTCCGGTCACCCAGAGGACAACCATGAGCACACTGAGGGAGTGGCCATCATGATGTCACCAACAGCAGCCAAAGCTCTCATGCAGTGGGAACCAATCTCCTCCAGGATAATGACAGCTAGGTTCAACTCAAAAGGAAGGAAGGTTACAATCATTAAAATGCTATGCGCCTACAAACGTCTCAGAACAAGAGAAGAAGGAGGATTTCTGCAGACAACTACAAACAGTAATGGACAACGTCCCAAAGAGCGATATCAAAATCCTGGTGTGTGATATGAATGCGAAACTGGGAGGAGACAATACAGGAAGAGAACTCAGCATGGGTCGCGAGGCCCTCGGTGAAATGAACGAAAATAGTGAACTCTTCTCAGACTTCTGTGCCTTCAATGATTTGGTGATCGGTGGTAGTGTGTTCAAACACAAGGATATACACAAGGCAACATGGATTTCACCAGATGGACACACTAAAAACCAGATAGACTTCATTTCAATCTCAAGGAAGTGGAGACGGAGCGTACTGGACACAAGATCGAGGAGAGGAGCAGATGTGGGTTCAGACCACTATCTGGTACAAATTATTGCCTCATAGTTTCTGTTAATCCAGGAACTTCAAGTATAAGTAATAACTGAGGGTATTCTAAACGATAACAGCCCAAAACGAAACTGTCTAATAAAGACCTTGACAAATATCTGTCGACCAATCATATACGTCCGAAGTAAAGGTGAGTAATTTGAAAAACTGTCTATAAATAAAGTAGTGCAATGTTAAAAAGGAGTTACACCGGATAGCGTTCCTATATACTTTCCAAGAAAATCTCCCATTTTCTCATGGGAGTCCTCATAGTCCGGCCAAAACCAAATTATGTACACGAATTCGTCGAAATAACTGTAAATCATCGTTCTTCTTGACACACACACCTCTCTCATCCTTTCTGTTATGTGAGTCCAGCAATTATTGATGGAATTTGTGTGAGCCCCATCGAAAAGCTTGACGAAATCATTAGTATGATTTGACTGCATTGTGAATATAGTCCAGGGACCACAATTAGCTAAGCACATTTGCAAAAAACTATATACTAATGATTTACTGAGATGGGGTAGCTATACACCACTCCTATAAACTAGTAGTGAGTGCTTGCTAGCCAGCCAGATCGGTGATGTAAACACTTGATGGCTGTTTCACTTGTTTAAGGCCGAATTGATTAGCGGTGTAGCCGGTTTGACTTATTATTATTGTTTCTTTTAATTCCCAGAGGAACATGGGGCTTCAGCCGCACGTCTCCATTGCGTTTCCGTCTCTGCCAAAGTTTTCACCTGGTTCCACATGTTCCCACATGCTTTCATCTCCTCTTCACATCACCTCCTCCATATCCTTCTCAAACTGACGACCAACTCGCTGCTCAACGTTCGGGTTCCACTCGAGGGATGGCCTGGAGTGTGATGTCATTTGAAGGATTGTTTTCTCAGAGTATGGCCAATCCACCTAACTCCATTTCTGAATGCATATTTCTTGCACGATTGGTTCCTACTGGGTTGGTTCGCTCATTGACAGAGATCCTTGTTACTGACCTCTTCTGGCCGGCCATCTGATCTTGAGTAGTATTGAACGAAGACAGCCGTTGATGCAGGTCTGAAGTTTGCTCGAAGTACCCTTCGTGACGCAGTGCGGCGCCAAGTCTCTGTTCAGTATAGTAGCCTTGACTTCACATTGGAGTTGAAAATCCACACCTTATTTTTCATGCTGAGTGCTGTTCACCTCTACACAGATTTCGTGAGAGTAATGAAATCTTACCTTGCTTTCCCCATCCTCAATTTGATATCCTCATCAGTTCTGTCCGCCTGTACTTGAAACGATGCTTCCCAGGTAGGTAGGTGAAGGGCGTTGCTTCTTTCAGATTCCTCCCATTCTTGCTGATTGTAATTTCTAGTTGTGTCTGTTCGCCAGTAATCTTCATCATCTCTGTTTTCACTATGTTCAGCTGAACGAAGTCCTATCTTCTCTGCATGCTTCTTCTGTCAACCTGTTGCTTTTCACTTGCATGTCTTCCAGTTTGTGGGAAATCAGACATGTATCATCGGCGAAATCCCGATCCAGATCCCCGAAGTTCTTTGTGTGGGTGCATTCTATTCCTGTCTCCTCGTTTCCTCCCGCTGTCTTTCGCATTATCCAGTCTACCGCCCGCAATCAGGAAAATCATTGGAGATGGTGGGCAGCCAGCCTGTCTTACTCCCAGTTTGACTTAGCTCAGTGGTGAAGCCGAATCGGTCTAAACAACCCGACTACTGTTTAGCTACTTGATTGAGCTCGTAACAATATATATCAGATTTGAAGTTAGCGAATTGATTACAATTTGCCGTAGTTTCCTTTGTAAACTAATCAGATTGTTAACCTTTCACAATGAATTCATGTACAGAAACTAGTTTCATATGTCATAAACAAGTCCTAGGAGAAACTGGGATATATTTTTGTAGTATATAAGAGACTAATTTTTTTCTACAAATCATTTTTATAATAAGCATTTGCTGTAAAGAAACTTTTCTACAAAGCGAATGCCAGATTTTTCATTAGACGATTTCTGTTAGTTATTTAGCATCATTTTACTGAACGTTGAATGTGGTACACATGCTTTAAAGTTACCTGGAACGGAAATTAATTTAGACAGACTGTTGTTTATATTTAATCTAGTTTAGTCAATCCAAGCTAAAGGAATACTTTAGAGAGACCAAAACATGCTGTGGATGCTGAACTCCGACTGGAACAAACTGCGTCCAGGCCAAAAGACCTTCGAGGATCACATCGCAACTCTGTATATCATCATTGAACAAAGTATAGAATCGCAGTCAAACCTACACCTCAGCTTCATCGACTTCAAAAAGGCCTTCGACAGACAGCGTTGACCGAGAAGTAATTTGGAAACTGCTTCAACACTATGGAGTGTAGTGCCCCCAATCTTTATCTGCCTCATTCAGTAACTAAGATGAGAGAATAACCTGACAGGTGATCTACAACGGAATACTAATCGAGGCGTTTGAAGTGATGACATGAGTAAGACAGAGCTCTCTATTATCACCGTTGATATTCTTAATTGTGGTGAACTGGATTATGCGTCAAACTGTGCACAAGGAGTAAGAAGACAGGAATATACTGCACTGACCGATAAGAAGACTCTAGAACGTCTGGATGTCGCTCGCAGATGATTTATGTTTAGTGTCACAAAAACTAGAAGAATTACATGCGAAAACCAACAACTTCACAGAAAAAGCATTGGAGAAAGAACTTCAAGTGAATTTAGAGAAGACAAAGGGGATGAAGATAACCAACCAACCAACCAACAACACCAACAAGCACTACTTACTGTCGATGGTAGAAATTTGAAAGGGGTTACTTCTTTCACTTATTTGCGCATCATCTCTTCAACTAAAGGCGGATGTCAAAACTAACCAGGATCGGAAGAGCGCGACAGACATTCCTTACTCTCAGATCAGTGTGGAAATCTTCTGCACTCTGCAGCATAAAGAACAAGATGGTCACTTATAATGGTCACTTATTTATCTCAGAGGTTAATTTTAAATCAGCCTCTGTTATTGATGTCAGTTGGTGGGACACAGTTTGTAAGAAACCTTCGACCAAGTAGCTAGCCTGAAATCGGGCGTTGTTTGAATTGATTCAGCTCTATTAGTGAGCTGAGTCAAATCGGCTACACTGTTGATCAGCTCGGCCTCAGACAAGTGAAACAGCCCTCCAGTATTTAGATCAGCGATCAGGCTGGGTAGCAAGCACTCACTACAAGTTGATATGAGTAGTATACAGCTACTCATCTCAGTCAGCCATTGAGCTATTGCCATTAGAGTAGAGTATTTATTATTTCTGTGTGTGTTGACTTTCTGTATACTTGTGTTTCCGAATCCCCTGTACTAGTTGTCTTCAGTGAGACATCTAAGAATGGAATTTTGTTGTCTGAATCTTCTTCTCTTATGAATTTAATGTCTTCAAAATTCAGATACATCTCGAGTAGGATAAAGAGCGCATCCTTGAGTCATTTTTTAATCTCTAACAGCCGAGTAGTAATTTTGTTACTCCGCAGTAACAAACAAATGAACAAAGCTACTTTTGTGTCTGCTTCTACTACCAGTGGTTCTGCTTATTATTATGATTATTATTATTCCCTTTGGTTCCGAGTGGAACATAGGGCTTCAACAGCATGTCTCCACCCACCACTATTTTTTTCTGTCCTCTTTATCTGGGCCCAATATATCGCCCATAAGAATTTTGATGTCTCCATCTGGAATGTTGTCCATTACTGTTTGTAATTGTCTGTAAAAATCTTCCTTCTTCTCTTGTTTGGAGTTTTGTTTGGGATTGTGAGTAGCATTGGATAACTGTAACGTTCCTTCCATTTGAACTGAATCTTGCTGTCATGATCCCTCAGGACGATATTGGTTTCCACTGCATTAGGGTTTCGCCTGCCACTGGTGACATCATTATAGCCTTGCAAGGACAAGTTAGGATTAGGTTAACCCAATAAAGGCGACATTAGAGTTGGTTCGAGTTGGATTAGGATTAGTTTAGCGATATTTTCACGTTAGGGTTAGGTTCAGGAAAGATTAGGGTTAGAAGAACTAAATAATTACATGCATAGAATGTGGTTAAATTGCTCTGTTGAAGAACAGAACTTCTACCCTGTGGTACGGTCTGTCTGTCTGTCTGGATTCAACATAGAACTTGGCACCGAAGTGCAGCAGTTCGAGTTGCCACGTTCCAAATAGCACACAAAGGTACAGTATAATTCCACTATGGGTAAAATCTATTTTGATAAATTCTCACAGTGTTATACAGTAATATTTCTTGATGACGTTTCGAGCACAATCTGTTGCTCAGTAAATATTACTGTATAACACATAGCGACTTTATTCAAATAAATTTTACCCACAAATGGAATTATACTCTGTTGATACACCAACCTAAAACTGAGAGCTACTTTTATCATATGTGAGAGAAAGGTATGCTCTGTAACACTTTTATACAGTTTTCATGCATTTTTTCATATATTTTCATACACAAAAATGACTCCTTCACATGATTGGTGCGTTCTAAGTCATTCGTTGATTGGTAGTTAGTGGTACTTAAAGTTTAACTTTGCCCTGTTCCTGAGTTGTGTCCTTAGTTCACAAAATATATTATTGAACTTTTTATAAATGACATTCAACAAAATGTCGTCGTGTATTTCTCGAAGGAGACAAAGAAGAGATATCATCACAGTTGATTGATTCACACTTTAGGTCAGATAGATAGAACTTTGTCACACTGTCTACTTTCAAAGGTCCTGGACGAGTAGAAAATCTGATGCAATAAACGCCGCTGAAAATCCTGTATATTATATAAACCCTGTTCAGAATAAAGCTATTATTATTTCTATATTATTGTACACATTAATTTATTAGACCTGGAATTTACGGTAGTAGTCATGCTGATTAAGAAAAACATAAGATCATTTTATCATGTGACCAAAATTTCCGGTCATTATAATATATATCATATAAACAAGGTGACATAGTCAGAGTGTCATCCCGTGATCATTAAATACCAATCTAAAATGAAGTGATCCGCTCTTAGCTTATTAACATTCCTAAGTTAGAAGAGACCTGATCTCATTATTAATAATGCCTATTTAATAGCACAGAGTCAGATAAGCGATATAGGGCTATTTAAATTGGTTGACGAAGTCTATTTGGGATTCAATCCAGCCTCTGTCCGTTTGGCATTGTCGACTACATCATTTATTAGATTCGTTGGATAGATCTTATTGTTGCTATAATGAGTCTGTCTCACAGCTGAGATGACAAGCCGAGAAGAAGACCTTATTTAGCTGTTTTGATTAGGTACAAATCGAACCAGAGTTTGTGTAGTTGAATTTTCCCTCATATCATTTCACACGAATACAAAACTGGGGATCGGCTAGTCTTTTTCGTCTATAGTATATTTGGATTGCCGGTTCATTAACATTTACATATTTTGACAAATATAACTAATATTCAGGGTTTCACCACACTCACTGTGGAATACTTCTTCCAACTACAAAGAATAGCATTCCAGCAGGCTTCAAAATTAGCGTCATAGAAATACGAATAGAACTTTGGCACTGTAGTGTTAGCGTATAATTCCATCCTAGGGTAAATTTATTCAATAAAAGTATCCACAGTGATACAGTGTTATTTACTGATGACAACGTTTAGAGCACAATTTACTGATAAAGGCACTCATATAACTTTCCAAATTCATTTATACAATTCGAATTATTTCCTTTCCTCTAACTGCATTGCTAGTAATATTTTTCATAAGCCTGGTATCCGTGTTTTCAGTAAATCCTTTTGCGTGTTTTAGCCGTAGCTTCAATGAACAAAGATTCAGTAATCAACCTCTCTTTCCACCTACCTATATTACTTTCTAGAATTGTTATTCTTTCCCACTCTTTTGTGTGATTATGTGTTTAATGCATTCACTGCAAATCCTGAGATTTTTTTCTAAATTACTGATCAATCATTCTATACTTAGATAAAGGTTTATGTTCTGACAATGTGAACACTCCCGATTTACTGGTTTCCCCATGTAGTTAAATTAACTCACAGTAAAATATTATAATGTTTTTTGTGAATTATATTAATTTGTCAAACTGCGTTATAGGGTCGTTTAACCTACAGAGCTCGACTTACCTGAATGAGTTTGTAGGTTTAAATGACACCTTAATCCCTATTTTATTAAGAATCCTACACGTAGGGTCTATCTACCCGGGTGCTATGTTTTCTTATAAACACTAGTGCATAGTTCACCTTTTTCCAGTTGGTATTATTTTACAATCTAAGATAGCTAATTTTCCTTATGCATTTTCTTACTCAAATGTGAGTTTTATTCCCTCTACTACTGCGTTTATATTTTTAAATAAACTAGAGTTGTGTTCTATTTTTACCATTGTAAAACTGTTAACCATATATCTCGACCATATCTTTGAGGTATGATTTAGCATTTTAGGCGTCAAATGTCATTAGCGAAGGGGCAAATTTATCCGACTCTTAATATACTACTTAATATCTAGAAGTAGTTACCTTGAAAACGCTCATTAAACATGTCATATTAGATTTCTTCACGAACCAACACCAGAGATCACTCATTGGAGAGCTATTTCGTCCCATTTGAGGATTCTTCAGATGTGAATTCCAATCGCCATCCTATTTATAGCTACTGGATGGATGCCCTGAAGTTGTATTCAGGAGTTGTGACTAATGGGATCCGCCATGTGTCAAGGTAAAGTGGGTACTCATAAAAGGCACTGATGAGAGTAGTGCTCTGTCAAGAATTGACACAGTAAGAATTCACAGGTCAATGAACTCTGTTCCAATTGGTGCAATGGTCAATGAGCTTTATCTCATAACCTAATGGCCCATGGTTCGATCCTTTATGGGGTCGTAGGTTTGCACTGATGAGGAGTTCAAAAACAGGACGAAACGGCTGTTTCGTTCCTCCTTTTGGTTTCTAGTGATCTCTTGAAGTGATGCTGTTATGTGACGAGAAACCAAATCCTATAATATTAATATATATGTATTTTATTTTAAGTTATTGATTATATCCATGAAGTTTTTTCTTGTTGTTTTTCAGAATTCTTTTAAAAGTGAACTTCTAAAAGAATCTCTCTTGGTGAAACATCCATATGCACACTACTTCCTGACAACACTCTGACACTTCCGTGGAGAGGAAGTAAATTGTCAATTTACTCGAAAACATGCATCATCTTGAAGTAGTAACCAACAATTACATGCACATGCTCGCATACATTTGGTATTGAAGTGAAAAACAAGCACATCTTCTTTCGTATTTTCGTTCAAGTGCTGTGAGCTTTTTTCTGTCTACCATAGTAACTGTAAACAAAACAATTACTCTTGTTTTAATGAATATATATATTGAATTGATCATCATTAAATGTACAATGTTTTGGGGTACTAATTTTCTTTCGAAAGTTTTGCATTTTGTTCTTTCTTTCTGTATTGGTGTCTGGCCTTGTTGTTTTGTTTCTTTTAACTCCAATTAAGTATTCTTCGTTTTGTGAGTTTTTAGGCGTGCGCGCGCGTCTGTTTATGCGTACGTGTTTGTGCCCGGGCCTTATTATGACAAACACTTCGAAGTTACCTGTTCGTTTTGTTTTAACGAAGAAACTGTTTAATATTTCTGGTTTTTGTGTACTGCTATTGTTACTGAGGCGTGTATGTGTATATCTGTGAGTGCTTATATGTGATAATCTCTTCAAGAGCTTCCTCGAATCTACCTTTTTTCTATACCAGTATCATTATTTCTTCTCATTGAATAATGATTGTAAGAGGACGAGGAGGATTTTTGTGCTGTGGTCTGATACGTCATTTTGTAATCCCCTTCAAGTTTAATTTTTATATAACACCCTCAACTACTAACAGAAAGTTGCATATCACTCTTTCTCTTCCTCTGTCTTTTTCTCCCTCACCCCCTTTTATTATTCGTAAATCAATCGATACTATGTATTACAGTTGAAAAAGTTTGATCATACATGATCGATCATTTGTATGAAGTTTAACTAAAACGAAGCATCTTGTTTGCATTATTGAGTCATTCATTGTCTTTGTTTGTCCAATGATAGGGTTATTCCAACTGTACGAATCCCACTTCAATGTATAAGATGGTGGGAGGCAATCGGGAGAAAGCCTTGGACTTAGGTTTTGTGCTAGTTGGCACTCTTCAGCAAGGCGTATCTGCAACCTTAAAGGAACTCATGTCCCTTCTGAGATTCGAACCCAGCTCACCCAGTGCTGCAGTTAGAGACGTTACCACTGAGCTATTCAGGGTCGCGATTGACGTCCTGTAGGACTGTATTGGATATTTTTGATTGCGCGCTAGTCAGTAACTAGTGTAATGTGTCTAGTCCTATCTTCGGTGCAGACTGAATTCTATCAGTCAAGCTTGCTATGTGGCCACCATTCTAGGTGGCTAGCCATTACGGTGCACTGTGAATCGTTGGTATTAGATGGTTGGAGGCAATTGGCAGGAAGCCTTGGACCTAGGTTTCGTGCTAGTTGGCACTTATCAGAAGGGACATGAGTTCCTTTAAGGTTGCAGATACGCCTTGCTGACTTGTGAGTGCCAACTAGCACGAAACCTAAGTCCAAGGCTTCCTGCCGATTGCCTCCAACCATCTAATACCAACAATTCGCAGTGCACCGTAATGGCGAGCCACCTAGAATGGTGGCCACATAGCAAGCTTGACTGATAGAATTCAGTCTGTACCAAAGTTTGGACTAGACGCATTACACTAGTTACTGACTAGCGTGCAATCAAAAATATCCACTTCAATGTTCACTACTAGTGACATAGAAAAATGTTTTGTAAACACAAATAGTCTACTTTAAGACACATATAAGTAGCTAAAGTATTTTAATAAAAGTATTCAGCGTTTGTATTTCACGCGTTTGCCTCAACATCCAATATTCGTAGGTGTAACCCTCTACAATACAAAACTCATTACAAAGGATGAATAACTGCTAAGATTTTCCATTGAAAGACAACTAGCTTGGTCGAAGCAACAAAAAACTAATAGATTTAAATCATAATTTGCAAATTAGTTGACCTCGCCCAGTGCTAGAGACCCTACCCCACAAAACCAATCAAACTCCTAGATAAACTTCGACGAACAAGAAAAATATTACGAAACAAAAAATATACTTATTCTTCATTGAAATCGGAAGGGCGAAATGACACAGTCGGCTGGTGAAAGCCTTTGAGAAACCAGCCAGCTGACGTCATATTGTTTCGATGAAAGAAAGAATAAGAATAGGGAGGTAGAATTTCCATACAATTTACGAGACCGGAAAGGCATCCCAGGTTTCCGAATAAATGGGAAAAAACGGCATAGGAGTGCTCGGAATCTGTGAAAGCAGGTGGAATGGATCTGAAATTCGGTTTGGAAATCCTCTGAACTCAGCCAACGTAAAGAACAAGAGTAGGATTTTCAACATTTGTGTTAAGTCAGTTAGTTCTTCTATATGGGTCATAAACTTGGCACATGCGTCACGAAAAGCATTTCCAGCAGTTGGCTGCAGACTTTTATCAACAGCATTTGGCATCATATTACATCTAATTGTCTCGACAACAACAAAAATAAAAACAATATTATAGAATTCGTAATAGCTGCCTTTTGTGGATTATGCGTCAGACAGTGGGAAACGAGAAGACAGGGATATCCTGGACCGACATAAAGAATCTAGAAGACCTGGATTTCGAGGATGATTTACGTTTGATGTCACACAAAATCGAAGACTTACAAGCGAAAACCGACAAACTGGTCGAAGAAGCAGCAAAGACAGGACTCCAGGTAAACATAGACAAGACGGAGGTTATGAAAATAAACAACCAACAACAACAACAACAGCAGTAACATCCAGTGCCAATCACCATCAACGGGAGGGATTTGAAAGAGGTTACTTCTTTCACCTACTTATCTAGGGAGCATTGTCTCAACTACACGAGGAACCGACAAGGATGTCAAATCGAGAATCGGGAAGGCGAGAAACACATTCATCAACCTGAAACCAATCTGGAAATCTTCGTCACTCAACTCACCATCAACAACAAAATTCGGATTTTCAATACAAACGTCAAGTCAGTCAGTTCTTCCATACGGATCAGAAACTTGGCGGGTCACAAGGAATATTTCCAACAGCCTGTTGCAGACCTTTATCAATCATCAACTGTCTTCGCTGGCTCTATACTGAAGATCAGATGGCCGGAGAGAATCACCAACAAGAAACTATGGGAACAAACAAAACAAGAACCAATCGCTCAACAAGTATGCAGGAGAAAGTGGAGATGGATTGGACACTCGCTGAGGAGGCCGTTGGGTGACATCACGCGTCAGGCCATAGCTCGAGTGGAACCCGCCGAAAGGGAAGCGGCGAGTGGGACGTGTAAGGGTGACATGGAGGAGATTGTGTGAAGAGGATTTGAAACAGTATGGACTAACATGGATGCAAGTGAAAAGTATGGCAGAAGACAGAAGCAAGTGGAGGCGTGCAGTTGTAGCCCTATGTTCCACTAGGAACCCAAGGGAACAATAAATAATAAATAAATAGCTGCCTTTTGGTATTTGCAGTCACAATAAAGTCAAAAATGTACAAAAAGTGGAAAACGATGATGACAATTATGTTAATAGCTAAAATTTTTAGTTAATTGAAATACTGTCACCATAAATTACAAATAGAAGGGCATAAAAGAGCCAATTAATGTGCTAATAACGTAGTTAGTCGTAGGTTTCACGCTTAACATTATCACTATCTCATAGGATGCGGGGGAGCCAAATAGGGTATCGTGGATGTTTTATACTTGGTTGCGCGAGTATATAATCTTTTGCAATGACTTCTAGTCCTACCTGATGAGATACAATGAGGGGGGAGAGTTGAGAAGTGAGGGATTGTTGAGAGCCAAAAAATATGGATTGTGACCATTTCTCACATGAGCTTAGGTATCTGTCAACTACTGTAGTAACAAGCGTGACTAAGTGGTACACCACTTACCCTACTAACAATCTTTAGTGACCTTCACGATATGACATAATCCTTTTTGAGTATCCCAGGAAAGACTTGGCGTGGGGAGCAATAAAGAATAATAGGTAAGATGCAGGAGTTAACAAACTGTGAAAGTAAAGGTTGACTGATACCTTCCAGATTGTCTTAACTTCCTAGTGGAGGAGGTTAGACAGAGCATTTTCTTATAAATCGACAAGATATAGGATGAATAAGAAAGGTCAGAGGATAGAAATATTCCAAGGTATTTTATGCTTGACTTAGTTCCTATTCCCTTCTATGCTACGCTAAAAGCATCATGTGAACGGACCAGTTCTTGTAGATCACCTTTATGTCTAAAGGTGAAGTTAACAGTTTGAAATCTAGACCACTGACTGATGTCCGACAAAAGGCTATTACGTTTGGCTAACGCACATTACTGTTATGTTATTTTGTGGTGCTTTCATTTAATTCACAATTTCTGTGGTATCGCAACACCTTTCATAGGTAACTGTGATATCATTCAGTTATCTGCCATGAAGATACATTTTCCAAATTGATTCATATTATTATATTATTGTTCCCTTGGGTTCCTAGTGGAACATAGGGCTTCAACTGCACGTCTCCACTTGCTTCTGTGTTCTGCTACACTTTTCACTTGCATCCATGTTAGTCCATACTGTTTCAACTCCTCTTCACACGATCTCCTCTATGTCACCCTTCGACGTCCCACTCGCCGCTTCCCTTTCGGGTTCCACTCGAGCTATAGCATGACGCGCGATGTCACCCAACGGCCTCCTCAGCGAGTGTCCAATCCATCTCCACTTTCTCCTGCATACTTGTTGAGCAATTGGTTCTTGTTTTGTTTGTTCCCATAGTTTCTTGTTGGTGATTCTCTCCGGCCATCTGATCTTCAGTATAGAGCGAAGACAGTTGTTGGAAATCCTGATTACCATACATTTATCGTCTTTTTTGTAACTCACAAAAACAATATCCTTCTATGCCCATAATGTATATTGGATCCTACTAGAACTTTCTATGCATGTGTTGCTATAGGAGATGCCAAACGTGAAAAACGTTCAACCTAAAATATGTTCTGAAACTATAAAGTCATTACATTGAAAATCCTTTTGATAACTACATTTAAAAAAACAAAAATTATCTTTTTAGCTGGCCTCACAACCGCCCAAAAGCTTTTATTTCCTCCAAGTCACCGTCGAAATCCCAACTCGTCAGTTTTAATCCAGGTTCCACTCAGAAGCCCGCCTTGCAGTCTATATCACTCAAGCGTGTCCTTAGCGTATGTTCGATCCTCTCCATTTTCTTTTGGATATTTTTGGAGCAATATGTGCTTGACTGATTCTTCAATAGATAGTGATTCGTGCTAGTTGTTGTTATTGTTGGTCAGTGGGTATCTCCATCACACCCGTCTTCTTTATGTTCACCTGGAGTCCTGTCTTCGCTGCTTCTTTTCTGACAACTTGGAGGCTTTCGCCTGTAAGTCTACAAATTTATGTGACATTAGACATAAATCATCCGTGAAATCCAGATCTTCTAGAGTTTTCTTATAGTTTCAAAGTATTTCTATCTTCTTGTTCGCAAAGCACAGTGACACATGATCCAGTCCACCACAATTAGGAATATCCTCGATGATAGTAGTCAGCCTTGTCTAACTCCTGTATTCATGTCAAACGCTTCGCTGAGTTTCCCGTTGTAGATCACCTGATACGTGGCATTGTCATATGGCCAAATGTTGAATGAGGTTGATAAAGATTTAGGCACTGCACGTCATAGTGTTGAAGTAGCTTCCAAATTACTTCGTTGTCAACGCTGTCGGAAGCCTTCCCAAAGTCGGTGAAGTTGAGGTAGAGATTTGACTGCCATTCTGTTCCTTGTTCTGTGATGACGATGTGTAGAGTTGCAGTTTGATCAGTGAATGATTCGCCTTTACTAAATCCAACTTGTTCCGGCCGGAGTTCTGCATCCAATGCATCTTCTAATATATCCATGATGACACAACTTAATAATTTACTTCGGATGGACAACAGCATAATTCCGCAGAAGTTCTTGCAGAGGCCTACGTCATCCTTCTTTGGCAGTCTGACACGGTAGCCCTTCTCCCAGTCAGTATATATCTTTCCCTCGTAACATTCTGCAATAGTGTCGTCAGCATATCCGGCTAACTTAGTTATCTAAAATAGGTTTCTTATGGGCCACGTTTATTATCTGACAGTCTGAAATGAAATGGGTGGAGGGCGGTTGCAACTCATGAACTACTGACCGGGAATCAAGTGCTTAGGAAAGTGATTCACACACCTGAAAGCCTTTGTCCACTTAACGTTTACTTATATATAACCACGTATGTGCGTAACGTGTGCTACCGAAGAGATTTATAAGTAGTATGTAGACGCGGACACAAATATAGAATAGCGGAGAGCTGGATTCAATGAATGAGATGCTTGTGAAACAATCTGGAGGACAAAGAAGCACAATACTGAAGAGATATGTACAAATTATGATTCTAACATGCCTATATCTAACTGTACATGGAGTTGCCTCGCTGACTGATTTCCCCCCCCCCCCGCTTACCTAGCACTAGACGCCTAACTTCAATATTACTCACCCTATTATACCTATTATTCACATGGGAGATAGAACGCAGGCAACTATGATCAAACACAGCCAGCTGGTCTTTTCATGCCTTCCACTCTCAATGGTCAGGTCTTGCTCACAGCCATAAAGGAGGACGGAGTGGACTGCTGAGCAGTACACACGTCCTTTGGTCGATAGCTGGATATCACATCTGTTACGCCAGAGACGGCGTAAACTGGCATATGCGAAACGAGCCATCTGTATCCGTGCTGAGATTTCGTAAGCGATCAACCCGCTGGCACTGGCTGATGCAACTTCCTAAATAAGTGAAGTGGTCAACACGCTCTACCACTTCACTCCTTATTTCTAAGCTAGGAGTCAATGTAGTCCAGTCCTGTAACATCATCTTGCATTTGACAGGAGACAGGCGCATGCCAAACATTCGCCGGTTGCAGCTCAAGATCTTCAGAAGACTCTGCTCTGTTTTGTCAGCATCTCCACTTAGAAGGACTATATCATCTGCATATTCTAAGTCAACTAGATTATTCCCTGGTAACAAGTTAATCCCTGAGTCACTGAAGTCAGTCGGGTTTAAGTCCATTAGTACATCTATGATGAAACTGAATAGAAATGGGGACAGTGGGTATCCCTGACAGACACCACTTCAGATGACAACTCGCCGTAAGCTCTCACCTGGCTGACTGCATGAGTTCGAGTAGAGTGCCTTGATCAGTGCAATGTATTTTCTCGGCATTCCTTTCACAGGCGAACCGCCATAGTACCTCCTGGTAGACAGAATCAAATGCCGCCTTTGGGTCAAGAAATATAATGATTGTTGGACGCCGCCGGTAAGTATGTCTATGTTCCAGAATCTGTCGAAGGATGAAGATATGATCAGTACACCCTGTTCCTGGTCTGAAGCCTGCCTGGTTCTCTCGTGTTTGTGCCTCCCGATAACCGCTTAGTTTACGCATGATTATTAAGCTTAGAACTTTAGATACCATATTGGTCAAGCCAATCCCCCTGTGATTATCACAGGGAGACTTGTCTCCCTTCTTATATATCTGGATAACCAATGACTTACACCAACCCAATGGGACTTCCTCTGATTCCCAGACGCTGCCTAATACCTTAGTCTTAGCGAGGTAAAAGAGTGCGTTGGCGGCCGCGGATCAAACCCCAAACCAACTGAATGGTTGGTGAGTATTCTACCGCTGTACCACTCACGAACAAGCTACACGACATTATACCATCTCTCAAATAAATTTTTAAATTTGAACTGTATTACTTCTCGAAAAAAGAAACAGAAAATCTAAACGTGAGTTCAGTGAAGCATAATCTGTTGTATTTCTTTTTATAAAAAAACAGAATTATCCTCTTTAATTTCATTCACAATATGAGATCATATTTATCTGGTAATGTATAAAATACAGGAATATACACACACTCACACACATATATACACACATGCATAAAGACAGTAGTAGTAAGTAACATATCATACATTTATAACAGAAAGGCAGGACATTTGATACATACAAAAATGTACACACATGGGTTATTTTTTCGTGAAGAAGCTGGTAATCGACTGTACACCCTTTGGTATTTTCGCCTTCTTTGGAACTGGCTAAAAAAATCAAATCAGATCAGATCAAATCGAATCAAATCAATAGAAAGAAAAGTAAATTAAAAAATTAAGATTAGTTATCTGCAATATGATAATAATTCTGTAGAAAATATGTAAGAGGAGAGTGATGAGCATCTACGAAATTTAGGAGGATGATAAGGGATAAATATATCTGCGCCAGTGTAAACAATTGTTTCACCATATCACGAATTCTCCAAGGTTTGACTGTCATCCATTTCAGTTAGGCAGTCAGTAACCTGCATAATTGGTTCAAACCAACAGTTAGTGACTTTATGAAATATATAACACATAACGCAACCAAATTGATATCAATTAGATAACCATTATAAACCATGGAGTACTGGACAGTTTGGGAATCATCAGCAGTATGCACCCATCACCAGCGTTTGATCTCAGGACTTTCCAGTTACAGGTCAAGGCAAGTTTGTGGACCATTTAGCCACTGGGACCCGAATCAATGGTCAGTCAATGAATTCTAATTTCTTAAAGCTCGTGATTTTAGCGCGACTGGCACCACCAGCCAGTGTCATCAGCGAGTATTTGTCTTCACTCCTGACCCCGATGATCACAACCTATCATTTTTCCCAATTTATGACGCTTTGTCTCTTAAATGAGTGAATTTCATTCACTAACCAACGACAAACGTTTAACGTCATCATAACTGACAACTTTTCGGTGAATTCGTCAAAAAGAGACTCTTCGTTGAACTGTTTATTGTTATATTCATGAGAGTACATCAGTCGATGGGACAGGGGGTCTTCATTGAATAAATTATGCATGCTTGACCAGAGCTCTAGATACGGCTTTATCAATCTAAAACCAATTTGGAAATTTTCTGCATTCAAGCAGCATAAAGAACAAGATTCACATTTTCAACACAAATGTGAAGTCAGTCAGTGTTTCTATACGGGTTAGAAACTTGACTAGCGTGTCACGTAAAGGATTTCCAATGACCAGCCGCAAACTTTTATCGACAACTACTTTCTCTGGCTACATTGTGAAGATGTATTAATTGACTTTCCCTCCTTACCTAAGGAGTATACACATCCCTTGATCGATAGCCAGCCGCATACCACGTTTATGCCAGATATGGTGTAAGTAGGCCAAATGAGACTTCTCTGTCGGTGCTGAGATTTCATCAGCAATCAACACTCTGTGGTTGAGCTGGTGCAACTTCCCACCCGAATAAGTGAAGTAATCAGCAAGCTCTATCACTTCACTCCCTATTTTTAAGTTAGGAATTGATGTAGTCCAATCCTGTAATAGTACCATATGACATTTGACACAAGCGAATCGCATATCAAACATTCGAATATTTCTGAACAAGGTGTCCTGAAGAGTCTGCATTTTGTCAGCGTCTTCACCTAGAAGGGGGGACTATATCATCATCATCATCATCATACTCTAGCTGAGCAAGGCTGTCCCCTGGTAACAAGTCAGTCCCTAAATCACTGAAGTTAAAATTAGGGTCAATTTTATCGGAAGAGACAGAGATTGCATAAGGTGAATCATTTGACTTGTAGGATGATTAAACATTGGATTGACTGCACATTGTATAATTTTCCAATAGGATAAAAATAAAAGAGAAAAAACGTTTACTTTAAAGTTAAAAAAGAGGACATACCTCGTTAGTCTTCGATTCTTTCAACTTTAAAACAGATGAATAGTCTTCTTTAGGTTGACAATTCTTTGACTAATATGGTTGAAAAACAATGTAAACATTTATCCTCATTGTGTGTGTGTATGTATGTGTGTATAGCAAAACAAAATAAATGAATGTATGAAATTAAAAGGTAATTGGTTACAGGATTTCATCATGGAAAACCCGGGATTACTGGACAGTCGTTTCGTCCTAGTTTGAGACTCTTCACAGTACGCACTCACCACAGGGGTTCGAACTCAGGACTTCCGGTTACAAGACCAGCGAGCTCGTACACCATTCAGCCAATGGGACCTGATCCAATGGCCCATGAATTCTAATTCTAATTCACAAAATGGCGCGACCGCTAGGTAATGTCTTTGGCGAGTATTTGTCTTCACACCCAACCTGCTACTCGCCAAAGACAATGATGGCTAGCGGTCGCGCCATGTCGTCATTTGGCAGAAGTTAGAATTCATGGGCCATTGGATCGGGTCCCATTGGCTGAATGGTGTACGAGCTCGCTGGTCTTGTAACCAAAAGTCCTGAGTTCGAACCCCTGTGGTGGGTGTGTACTGATGAAGAGGCCCAAACTAGGACGAGACGGCTGTCCAGTACTCCCGGGTTTTCGAATGGTTCTGTAACCAACGTCAGTTCATGATGAAATCCTGTAACCAATCAATCAAATCCCTACAAGGTAATTTTTGTGCAGCTATCAAAAAAAGAGAAGCTGAATGTTACTTAATCTCCATGATGTGGACAATGAGCCAACCCATCTTACCTTTCGTGTGAACGTTAGTGATATTACCTGGCTAGCCAAACATCAACAAGTGGAGTGGACTTTCTAACTAGTGATTCACTTGTTAGAAATCGAACGCCTACACCAGTGAGCTACAAATCCACAGAGTATGGAGGCATTATAGCTTGTCACATCTTAGATGGTTGGTGGCAAACGTCAGGCGGCTTTGCTTGACCTAGGTTTCGTGCTAGTTAGCACTCGTCACTCAGGCGCATTTACAACCTTGAAGGAACTCATGTCCCTTCTGAGATTCGAACCCGCGTTACAATCCAACATGAGGTCAATCCCAAGTCCGAATAACTCAGTGAGAACGTCTCCGACTGCACCACTGGGTGATTTGGCTTCGAGTCTCAGAGGGGATATGAGTTTCTTGAAGGTTGTAGATATGCCTTGCTGACTGATTGGTGAGTATCAACTAGCACGAAAAGTACGTCAAGCAAGGCTTCCTGCAGATTGCCTCCAACTATCTAATATCAACAATTCACAGTGCACCATGATGGCGAGCCGCCTAGAATGGTGGCCATATTGCAAACTTGACTGACGATAGAATTCAGTCTACACCAAAAACAAAAGACTAGACACATTACACTAGTTACTAACTAGTGTCCAATCAAAGCTTATCTCACCTATTTGAGTTTATACGAATTATGATAAGGATCCAGCAGGATAGTTCTACATACACTGAGTGACGAGTAAAAGTTCGACATGTGTAAGCATATTATTTGTATGAATGTTAGAGAAAATGAAATAAACAATTTCAGCATTTCGTCCAACAAATCGATCAGAACAATTTTAAGCAAATAAATAGAATTTTAATCGAAAATTATAAGGCGTTTACAAAAGGATCTACTGAAGTGACGTGTAACGTATTTGACTCTTACAACCACAGATTACTGGAGAAAGAATATTTCTTATATTTTATTTTATTTTTTTTTATTATAGCTTGATTCCACACAGTATTTTGGTACAAGTATGAAATTTTCAGTATGTGATATCGGTAGCCCAAATTTTGCAGGCCGACCATAGATATCAGGTGTGCGTCGGCGGGGGATCGAACCTCGGACCACGTGCATGGTCGATGAGAGTCCTAACCGCTGTGCCACCGACGCACATAGCATCCTCCTTTCAAGTTATACAATTATATATCCCTATTACATAAAGATCTTTCATAACGAGAAATCATTAAATTTCGCCTCCTCTACGTGTATCTACCATCATTTTGACTGCTCCTGTGGAGCCACCTACATTAGGAGTACAATTAGGCAAGTCCCATCGCTTTGCGTGGTGAAACAAAAGACAAACAGGATCTAATTTGTAGCTCTGTTGTTTTAGCACACCTTGTAGACAGTGAGCATAAAGTTGATGTTAACACAATAATTTTAAAGTTATTTGTCGCATTTCAACTAATTTCAACTTTGCTTCACGAGTTTGTCTTCTGCAAAGAGCTAAAGCTATTGGAACCCACTTGAAGAAGCCACACCTGCATGTTCAGAAGAAATTCGTACAGCCAGTTTCCTTATCTTGACACCATTGTTACATGGATGTAAAATCCTGACTATTTCTCCCTCCCCCATAAGAAGCCTGTTAAAAGTTGTAATTGTTCAAAATTATTTTCTTTTTTTAAGACTGCTTCACCTGTATTTTCTTATTACACAGTCGTCAAGAGTTGGTTTCTAAGGATTAGTTTTGTTTTTACGAGTTGATCACGGACTGATATCAGTTAGAGAACCACTGAAAACCAACCAGGGAGTACTGGACAGCCAGCTGTTTCATCCTAGTTTGGGAATCATCGGCAGTAAGCACCCACCACACGGGGTTCGAACCCAGAGCCTTTCGGTTACAAGGCAAGCTCGTAGACCATTCAGCCACTGGGACCCGATTCAATGGCCAACCCATGAGTTCTAACTTCTACCAATTCGTGATTTAGCGCGACCACCAACCGATGTCATCAGTGGGAAATCCATCCTCACACTTGACTTGTTGGACATCACTGGTCACTTCTCGCTAGAACTGCAGGAAACTCCATCACTAGGGAAAATGAAACGGTGGCTTAATGGTATACCAGCTTGCCTTGTAACCGGAAGGTACTGGTGGGTGCGTAGTGCCGATGATTTCGAAACTAGGATGAAACAGCTGTCTAATACACAGTCAACTTGAATGCTTACTTATTCCCTAGTCACTCTTTTTTCAGAAACTGTGCGTTAAGCAAGCCGTTTTTCCTTTGTTTTTGTTAATTTTCTTCGTCATTTTTTATCTTCTTGACAAGTTTCTACTGACTAATCAATTATTGTTAACATAAATATCGCCACTGGATTGGTAAAATGTTGTGTATTTGTAATAAAAATGTTACATATATATTAGAGCACAGCCAGATTGAGATGAGGATCTGATTGGAAAGTAAATATTTCGTAGCGCTCAGCCATTTTATCTCCTAGGTGTCGGTGGCACAGTGGTTAGAACTCTCGCCGGCCATGCACATGGTCCGGGGTTCGATCTCCTGCCGATGCACACCCGATATCTATGGTCGGACTGCGGAATTTGGGCTACTGATATTCATGCTGAAAATTCTATACTTGTACTGAAAATACAGTGTGGCATCAAGCTGTAATCAGAAATAGAAAATTTTTTATTTTATTCCTTTACATTCCCAGTGGAACATACCTCTTCAAACTAGAGCTTTGAAGTTTCGGTAGCAGTGGTGTTTATTTTTTATGCGATGCGGTTGCTAGCTTCATATCTAACCTTCCCTCTTTACCAGTCTTATTACTAGCTTAGCGAGGTAAAGGAGGGCGTCGGCCAGGGATCGAACCCCAAGCCACCCGCATGGTTGGAGAGCATTATATCACTGTGCTACCATTGCACCCTAAATGTCTAAATGCGGATTTTTCCTATATTGAAATCACTAAATGAAGTAATAATAATAATAATCGAACAATGAAAGCTATGGACCACATCTGGTGTATACAGGGGATAGTGATGCTACTCATTTACCCATATTGAAATCGATGAAAGTGAATTTGAACTCAAAACCTATCTGACTGGAAGTCGAGTGCTAAAGCCAACGAGTAAACCGAACAGTAACACTCTTTTAGAATCGACTAAAAGCCTCCACATTACAGAGTCAAACATACTATAATATTTATCTTATTTAAATGAATTTCCCTATTACGTAATGTGTCAATAAACAGCCGTCATATGATGCATGGATGGCGTGAACGTGTTGTGCATCCCAGAAAGCTATGAACACACAATGTATGCTAGTTAACTAGGAAAAACACAATATTCTTCTTACAAGAGTGTAGTGTAAAGTTATCATTTGTTGGTATATGATGGTTGGAGGCAGGAAGCCTTGGACCTAGGTTACGTGATAGTTGGCACTCGTCAGCAAGGCATATCTGCAACCTCGAAGGAATTCATATCGCTTCTCAGATTCGAAACCTGCGTCATCCAGTGCTTCAGTCAGAGGCGTGACTGACAGAATCCAGTCTGTACCAAAGACAGGACTAGACACATTACACTAGGTACCGACTAGTGTCCAATCAAAAATCTTATCATTTAACAGACTAAAAAACAATCTACTAAAGCAGGGTTGATTTTTTATATATTTTTATACCAGTGACACTGCATGGAAAGCCAGAAAATCAACACAATTCTACACACACACAAACTTTTCTCATCAATGAGTAAATTCCTACTGTTTCGATAAACCTTTCGGCTTTAATGCCTATAAGTTAAATTTCCAGCCTACACATTATGATCAGGCTAATAGTTGTAAGGATTTTTGATTTAGTTGTATTCTCTGAGCTGGATAGTTTATTTGCGAAGCTTTCATCGCCCTACTAGGCAACATCTTCAGCTCATACTTCAATTTGTTGAAGTGAGCTTTTAGATTTCTCCACGAGTTTATTAGTCATCTCTCCTGGTAACATTGAACGTGATTAAATGTGTTTGTGTGTTTTCACACCCTCTAGGCTACTTCTAAAGGAATTGATTGTTTCTTTGACTTGAACTTTGACCCTTTGTGAGTGAGATTTCTTTCTTATCGATTTGGTAAATTTTGTCTATCTCGATGTGTCTATTGATTGACGATTCACTGGAAAACCAGGCTAGACTTCAAAAAATTCTCTGGCATTCTTGGTGGTTCTTCTGTCTAATATTTGAACGTTGTCCCATTCGAGTTGATATCCGTGGTTGTCTGTATTTAGTGAGAAAGTTCATATTCAAGGTCAGATTACCAGGAGAGATGACTAATAAACTAATGGAGAAATTTAAAAGCTCACTTCAAATTAAAGTACACGCTGAAGATGTTGCCTAGTAGGACAATAAAAGCTTCGCAAATAATCTATCCAGCTCAAGGAAAAACCACTAAATCAAAAAGAGTTTTTATACTTAATCATCTGAGCATAACATCTTTCATAGTTGTTGCTTCTGATTCTACTTGATGAGATGCAGGGAGAAAGTTGTGTATAGTGATAGGATCCCACACACTTTGTTATTGTTCAGTTATCTTAACGACTGTTAATCTCGTATAAGTGGTATATCATCATTTCCCACACATTTTGTTATTGACTATTACGACCAATTATTTCAAATACTGTTAGCTGTCTGTATTGGTTGTAAAAATGTATAAATACCATTTCCTAAATAAGTTTCTTTGTCGTCGTAGTTTTGTCGTAGTCGTAGTTTGTCGTAATTGTTGTACTACAATACACAGTCACAGACCAGCTTTTGTCTTTTGATATTTGCGTGGTTCGCTGAATCGGAAGGTACCAGAAGCAGATAGGCATATTAGTCAGGCGCAGACAGAACAAGGTGACAACGTCCTCATTTAATTCCGCTACAGTTATAACAATAGAGAGGGTGCTCAAAGTTTGAGAAGACACTATATCTGCTAATTCCTTTCATAAGTCCGTGTGTTAAGAAGTTGGTTTAGCCATATCCCTCACTCGCCTTACTGACAGGTTTTAGTGCCCTTTGCAGCGTAACAAAGTCTTTTTTAAATATCCCAGGAAAGATTAAGGTGGCAGAAGCAGTAAAGAAAGATAGACAGAAGACAAGAATTCACAAACTTCGAAAGTAGAGATTCACTGATGCCAGAATTTCTTAACTTCCTTAGGCAGGACGTTAAACGAACGTAGGGCTTCAAGCGAAAGCTTTGAAATTTGGGTAGCAGTAGTTTTATTTTTATTTTTATGGAATGGAGTTAATGACCTTACTCTCAACCTCCTAATTTGTCTCATCTCATACACAAAGAAATTTAATTCAAATAGACATGAGTTTTTTTAATTTTATCAATAAAACAGATCTACAGAAATGTTAGGTATGGCTCAATTTTGATATATACTACTACGATTGGTATTAAATGGTTGAAGGCAATCGGCAGGGAGTTTTGGACCTGGAAGGAACTCATGTTCCTTCAGAGATTCGAACCCGTGTCACCCAGTGCTGCAGTCAGAGCATAGTAGTCTCATTACAAACTTGGCTGATAGAATTCAGTCTGCATCAAAGGTAGGACTAGACACATTACACCAGTTACTGACTAGTGTCCGATCAAAACTCCTCCTATTGACTGACATAAGTAGTTGAAGACCACTCATATCAATCATATCTCAGCCTTATATAGTTAGTTAACTGTTTTGAGAAGAAAATTATATATCTGTAATATTTATATTTGATTTATATATCCACACTTAGTAAAGTATAGACACGAAGAAATGTGATGTATTTTTTATACAGCTGATTTAGCGGGCTAGGAGAAACACGTTAATATAAAACACAACCAACCATGCGATGCTCTATCCCCTCGTTACACAACTGAATTAGACGGACTGAGAACAAACCTACGAACTAATAAGCCATACTCCAACAAAGTGTATAAATGCTTAAGGGATTAATAAGGTGACTTCATGTGCATGAATTCCAAATTCAAATAGCGTTCGATATGACTTTGTTGCAGAAACTGTATAGGTTCATACGCTATCGAACACTAGGTATAGTTCACAGTCCAATACATGTTAGCTACCAGAAAATAGCATTGTTCTCAAGTTCATCTATAAGTGATATTTTACAAGAATATATAATAAAATGAGAAAGAAAATGTCTCCAATTTACTTATTACTTACATTTTCTGACTTCTGGTGTAGCTCAACAGCAGGATCTACATTCTCAGAATCTACTGTTGTTGAAGTGTTTATATCTGATGGAGTATCTTCTGAAGTCTTCAAACCAATCTTTTCTCGTAGCTTTTTTGATATGTCCGGGGTAAGATAATCAGCCACTAACTGATAAGCTAATTCTAAGCATAACTGTTGAGGTAGTTGACTGACTGACAACAGCTGAGCCTCTTCAGAACCTAGACATGTATAGCAATTAAGGAAGAAAAACAGTAGCGTTCTAGAAATTAACATTTTATGCAATTGGAAATTTACCATAGTTCCCGAAAAACACAACACCATGGTAGCAGATAAAGCTGTGGGTAACTGACTGATTTCAGAATACTTCTCCTCACAAAATTATATCAATAATAGGATGGTTTAGAACTACCGCGACACTGAACAACTGCCTCATCCCATCTTCATATACTCCAAGAAGGTTTATTCACAACTCTATGGGGTATACAGTCTATGGTTGTGAGACTGTGAAGCAAGGCAGTATAGTGTTTCCGCATACGCATAATAAATCGGCATATGGATTAGAGCTGGAAAAGGAGACTGAAGGCAAAATATCTCGTAACGCGAACTACTTACGGCTGGAAAAAAATACTAGTGATTTAAAATCCATGGAGTTATGACAGGATGCCTCCACACTTTAAACTACCCCATTTGTTTACTGGTTACCGGAGTGAGAGATAAACTAGATTTTGCATTGTTTTATACTGGTCTGGTCTGTAACGACTCCTGATTTAAAGATAACCAATGAAATGGTCTAGCAGATTGAACACTTCACTTATTTCGGGGAGTCGCATTAGCTCAAAATAGAATGGTTGCTGACGAAATCTTAGCACAGATATAAGAGGCTCATGTGACATTCTCCAAATTACGTCGCCTCTAATTAATACGTGATATCCGGATACCGACCGAAAGACATGTGTTCTGTGCAGAAGTTCACTTTTTCCTTCTTCATGGCTGAGACACATGGCTATTGAAAGCAGAAGACTAGCTTTCTTTGATTACAAGTGATTGCGTCTTGAATTCTGCGTTAAGCGGTATAATATGGTAAGTAATACTGAATTTGAGCGTAGTGTTAGGCAAGGAGAGAAAATCAACCAATTAACTTGAAAGGCTCCACCGATTAAGATGGCAACGGCAGATGTTGGGCTAGATAAGCCATCTTCTTCCTCGTCGACTAATTTCAGCTGAATTAAGATCAGGTTGGAGAACATTTAGAGGTGAGGAAAATCAAAACACATACAAAATCTTCAACCTCTGGTTTTAGCCATGTAAGGAGGCGTAGATTATTTGGTTGGGTTCCCCAAGATGTTCAGATTCAATGGTTTGATACGGTGATATGATTCAAAATCATTCCGAATGGTGCAGATTTATTCACTCTTCATTATCTCCCAGATTCATTAAATCCTCATGATTCTTTATGCAATAGTTATTCTTTATCCCGCACACTTTCGTTGATTGTGATTCCTCTGAATTTCTTCCCATTCCTCCGAGTTTTATATGAAATGTGGCAACTTGAACTACTCCACTTCTATGTAAAGTTTTACGTTGAGATGGTAGTTATCGGGTCATATTTTCAGATGCAAAACTTAAATCCGTGTTCACCTTGAAGATAAATCAACGCTAATTAGTACATTTAAATGATTGTCACTCACGTGGTGTTACTTTAATGCGAACAGAGTAACAGCTTTTAGTTTAAAACTACAGTAATCAAAAGTAACTGAATTTTTGTGGCATGGTTCGACTGGTTCTAACAAATACGAGGGGTCAGACAACTTCAAACAAACTGACAGTTTCTGCAATAAGCTTCATCTGTAAAAATGAAAACACTTGATAAAGACCTTATTATTAGGCCTCTCTCTTCAACAGTTACAGACGATGTTCTTAGTAAATAACTATAAATCAGCCACTCTTGTTTAGGTTGAAGTTTAAAATAATTACACAAATTTAAAAAGCTACATTATTACAACAATAATCTTACTGGATGTAAATTCTGGAACTCGTGAATCTTCACTTCCTCCTTTACTGCCATCAGACGAAGAACTGGAAATAATTAACCGAAGCTGAGAATTAAGAACGGGATTTGCCGATTGAAGGGCAGCCTGACAAACATCGGATACTCTATTCGATAACCATTCCAATGTCCGAGATTCGTCGTAACGATAAACAGAGAGGCTACCAACACCTTTGCAGAAAGTAAGGAATCAGGTTATACAAGATTTGAGCATAAAATTTGATTGTTTAGATCGATACATATTTTAGGGGATTTACACTTCAGGTAATAAATAAACTGCATTATTTGCAGGGTAATCCGAGTTAGTTTAAATTAATAATAATAATAATTTGCTTTATTCCAAAACAGTACTTGTGATACAGAATGGAATTCTCAGCATTTTTATTACAGTATTGCATCCAGTTAGTACATTATCAATAAATAGAATTCTACATAGATTGAGGAAACCAACAGTTCATTATTACAACAATACATTGGCATGTCGGTAGCAAAGGTAAAGCTGAAAGGTGTTTGAAGGTGTTAGAAAAGTGGGAGCTGTCTTATTAACAGGCGTAAGCGAGAGAAAGAGACAAAGCAGCACATAACGGAAAAAGAAGAGAGAGAAAAGGAAAAGAAAGAAAGAAAATGTTGTACATATTGATGATGTGGGTTGGAAAGACGAGATCCAGTTGTACTACTGACTATTTAAAGAATTATAGGTGTCACGCCTAATGCTTTCTTTATCACACAGAACACGAGCTAAGTAGGGTATGGTTGAGTTTTTGTACTTGCTGGTGCGAGCATATAGTTTTCTATATTGGCTTCTGGTCCTACCTGATGAGATGCAGGGGGAGAGTTGTGAGTGAAGAGGGTGGTGTGAGTTAGATAAAATGGATTTGGCCCATTTTTCACATGAGTCCATGTGCCTGTCAACCAAAATATTAACAAGCTGGTTAAGTGGCACGTTGCTTACTCTGCCGACAACATTTAACATCCTGCGTAATATGGTATAGTCTTTCTTCAGTAGCCCTGGAAAAACTAAGGGGGAACAATAGAGAATAATAGGCAGGATGAGAGAATTAACGAATTGTAGGAGTAAGGGTTGGGTAATACCAGAATGTTTTAACTTCTTAATGTAGAAGGTAAGACGGAATATTTTCTTAGAAATTGCTAAGATATGAGACGACCAGGAGAGATCAGCAGATAGAATGACACCTAGGTATTTAATTTCCGATTTAGTTTCTATTTCAGTGCCATCTATGTTGCATACCTCGTGAGAGCCAAACAGTTTGTTTAGGTCGGATTTATGCCTAAAGGTGAAATTGACTGTTTGGCATTTGGAGGGGTTTAGAGTAAGACCATTTTCCTTGGACCACTGGCTGATTTCTGACAGAAAGCCATTAAGTTTAGAGCAGTCGCTTTGACATTTGATAGGCAAAGATACAGACAGATCGTCAGCGTAATTGACAAAATCAATGTCATTTGAAGATGGTAAGTCATGTAGAAAGAAAGAAAAGAGAAGTGGGGAGAGTACAGCGCCTTGGGGGACTCCGGCTTCAGTGTACTGCATTCTGTTTGAGAAGTAGGAATGCAACCAGTTAGTGACCCAAGACTCAGTTTTCGTTAAAGAGAGCTTATTTAGCAGGAGACATCTAGGAACAGAGTCGAAAGCAGAAGTGAAGTCAAGAAACGTGCAGCGGACGTACTTGGCACCTTTATCTAATGATGAGACGATGTTGTTGTGTAAGACGGCTGCAGCGTCTAAAGTGCTCCTACCCTGTCTATAGGCAAATTGTTTGGGGTCTTCAAAGCTTTTAAGGGAGGGTTCAAGTTTAAGAAGTATTAGTTTTTCCATAAGCTTTAGAAACGGGGAAGTGATGGCAATGGGTCTGAACTTTACGTTCTTGCCGTTTCCAGGTTTAGGGACAGGGACAATTTTGATGTCTTTCCATGCATCAGGTACGATATTTTTAGAGAAAGAAGCATTTAGGATGTTGGTTAGTGGAGAACACAACACATCTGCACATTGTTTTAGAACATAGGCAGGTATACCATCAGGACCAAGGCTACGTGAGGGCTTGAGTGTTTTAAGACATTTTAGAACATCGAGAGTATTAAAGTCATGAAAGTTTTCAGCTACATGATAGGTAACATTAGAAGTAGTTAAAGTAGAAGGACAGCGTATAAAAGACCGATTAAGAGCATTAACATCATAAGAGGGAAAAGCATTACAACGCTTACTATTGCCAGTAATTTCATTAAAAAGTTTCCACATGCTGATTGGAGATTTACATGATAAAAGTGTATCATTATAGATAGCATTAAGATTTTTGATTTCAGATTTGATCTGAGCATTAATCTTTTTGAGTCCTAACTTGTCTTTGGATTTGTATAAAGTTTCTTTTTTCCTGCGAAGTTGTTTGAGATAAGGAGATGAGAAGCGGTCGAGGCGTTTGAATAGAGTTTGTTTGGGACAGCATATGTCAAGGCAAAACTTAAGATAATCCGTTATATTGCCAATTGTGTCATCTAATGAACTTTCATGGAATAAGTCCCAGTTAGTATTTTGTAACATGCTCCTTAGATTGAGTAAGTTTTCGGATGAGTAGCATCTTTGTTGTGCTTTCATAGACAGATGCGAGAAGACTTTAATGTGTGTTTTGCTGTAAATTTTTGGTAGAACACGAACAATACACTTACTGGACATTAAAAGCAAGAACATTTAGTTTTCTACTTTCACCCTATGTTTTACATGTGGTCGATAAGCTATTACTAGACTTTTCAAAAGTTCTGAGTTAAGAACTAAGACTACAGCGCAAGACAGGAGTGTTGATTGATGATAACTATTATATAGACTGTTAGAGCTATGTGAATACACTTCTCTGCCTCTTGGCTTTCTCATTAGCCGTTCGATTTATATCAGACCAAAAGTCACTTCATATCATGCATATATATATATGATTACCAAAAGTATTCGGTATCTCTTCTGAATGGAAAGGACAGCTGTCTTAGATCATACGTGTCTTTGTTCCATCTCCCGTGTTAGATAGTAGGTGTAATAGTAGAATAAGTAATACTGAGGTCAGACGTAGGTCGAGTGCTAGGTAAGGAAGGAAAATCAATCGATGAGGTGGCGCACCTATATCGTTTAGGACGGCTAGGACGTCTGTTACTCACACCTAACATTCACCTTCCTCGACAACAGACAGTATTAGCTGACATAGGATCAATAAGGTTGGAAAATAGCTATTGGTGGTCAAACGGAAATATGGATTCATGAATCAGTGAGATCCATAACAGTTAGCTTGAGCCAGATAGCCAACCAGTCACGCAGGGAGGTGTAGACTGCTAGTCTGGCTGGTTGAGGTCCTCGGGATGGAATGAACCAAGGAAGGCTGGAAACAATTAGTGATATGGCTCAAAATCAACGTTCTCATTGGCTGACGAAGATGCGTTCACTCTTTGTGATTTGTTATATCCAATAAAACTATATTGTCATTCCAGATTACTACTATTCTTTTTCCCTCACTCACATTTCTGCTTATTATGTCTTTTCGATCTATGTTTACTCTTTTTTCTGTGGCTTTATGTAGTACATGAAGGGAGAGTGGCAAGTTGAACTGGTGCACATCTGTGCAAAGTTGTATGTGGAAACCAGTCAGTCAGTCTCTTTTGAATATGCATCAACAAATTTGACATTCAAGAAAACTTATTCCTCGAGAACCCGTGCTCTTCACGACTCTTAATGGACATTTTTTGGAGTGATATTCTTTATTGGGCATAAAACTTATCACATTTCTCATAAGTGAGGCTACTACTAGTTATTTGGATTCAAACAAAACACTGCTGATTATAACTTCAAAAATACTTAACATTTTTGGTGAAAATTGTAACGTCTAAACTCACCAGACATATATTAACATAAAGCTTTATTGTATGACAACTACCAATATAAGAATAACTATTTTCACCAGACTTCATGAAAACTTATTTAGAAATAAGTCATTCAAACAAATTATATGAACGAGTATACATTTATCACCCTGCAGAAACCATCCACATATCTGTATTCTCACTTTTCTGCACACTAACTATGGAATCGTAAACCTGTACTGGTTGGTAGGTATAACCAAAAACAATATAATGCACACTGAGAGAACAATGGAATGAGGCAGCGAACAGTGTTGGTAAGTTTGAGACTATGGATGTAATGATGATGCGTTTGAAAACATCAGTAGAAAAACTTCTTCCGTGAGTCTTTTCTGTTGGACAAAGGAGGCATATATCCTGGAAAGAGTACAGAGAGTAGGAACGAAACTAGTTAGTGGTATCTCACACCTTCCTTATGATAAGAGGATGGAGCATCTAAATCTCTTTCCGTTATCATACAGAAGGAAGAGAGGCGACCTAATTTTGGCTTACCGTATACTTAAGGGTGATTTAGGAACTGACCTTTCTAAACTTTTCTCTCCTTCTAGGATACATTTACGGGGTCACCGCAAAAAGGTGCTCAAACCGAGGACGATTAAAATACGTGCAGAATTTAGATTCTCTCATAGAGTGGTCAACGACTGGAACTCCTTACCTGATTCAGTAGTAACAGCTCCATCGGTGAACGCTTTCAAAGAGAAGTTAGATCTCTGCAGAGATATATTTTGCAAGGATTAACACAGGCCACAAGAGCCTTCTATTCTTATCAACTGAATCTGGCACTTCAACTAATAAAAATACCCATATGCGAGTACCTGGTAAATTCTACCCCTACAACACACCTTGAGCAGTTTTTCGAAAAGAAATACCTCTTATACAAATAATAAAGCCTGAACAATATACTAGAGCGAAATTCCATGTCACACTGAGATTAGGCGTGATAAGTATAGCCCAGTTAACAATACTGTATACTCGGTTTGACCAAATAAACTTAACTAATATGGAAGAAAGAAGTTTTTACCAAGTTCACAATTGAACTCGTAATTACTAATCAGAGCTAAGCTGTAATTTACTGGTAAAATCTTCCAAATAATTATTAAAACTTACTTCATCCATAAATAGACAAGAAAAAAAAACGAAAAAGATATACATAATTAAGATATATAATGTCCACATTACTTCGACTCAGAAACTCAAAAAAACATCACTTTATCCATCATAAATACAGCTTACATTTCTTCTCACAAATTTCTTCCAAACGACCCTCCAGGTTGGAAATACTGCTAAGTATTGAACAATTATCACCTGCCTCGCTTAGCAATGAATGCCATGAAACAAATTTAGTCTACAGTGGTCAGTGTTAATTGCCAAAATCAAACCTGTTTTTTGCAGAATGATATGCAGAAGAAAAGTGGATCGATCCGACTGCAAAGATACATCACACCATCTATATTTGTATGATTTAAATATGTAATTCAAGAAAAATACCCATACCAGTCTTAATATCTCCACCAACTAACCATGAACGAAATTTTTGAGTTGTGCTCTGTATTTCAAAAAGCTGAGATGATTGACTATTCCACAGGAATAGGCATGGTATGTCTACGAAGAATCGATTAAAACATATCAACAGAAGTCAAAATACCTGATCTTGGATGGTTTAGTTTGACTAGATAACACTTTGAAGGACAATTGATGACACCATCTGTTTAATGGTGTCAGATATTCGAAAATAAGTACCTGGGACTACAAAGACTGAACCACAGTCTTGCATTCTGAAGTAGCGCAACTTCCAAAATGTTGTTAAAATTTCAGTAGTACATAAAACCGTTAATTGCACAGATCCAATATCCAATATCTTTTTACGAGCTAGTATAAACCAATTTGATTTCTTTGCGCTCGCCTCTTGATTGTAAGGTAGAGGTTCCTGATCTTTGGTAAACGTCTGTGTAGCTCGTCCCGCCACTCGACTGTCGTAGCTTTGGTTGACTCCAACAGGAGTAGTGCTGGGATTAATTATATGGCGTCTGTAGTATGAAGTGTGTTAAGACTGTTACTACTGTGAATGGAGTTGATCCTTTCACCAGTTAGTCTTTCGGTATCGTCGTCAATGGAAAAGAGATAATAATAATAATAGATATAATTAGTAAAGGTATTCAGACTAACAGACAGAGAAAAAATAAGAAAACTTAACAACAGTCAGTCAACCGGTATACATATATATATATAATATATACCAGTAATAATGATAATAATAATAATAACAATAATAATAAGTGTAGTTAAAGCTGTCAGGAGAGTAAGACTGAAGGGAATGTGAAGAAGTAAAACGACCAGTTTAATTGTCTATCTTTGAATGGTATATGCGATTTTAAGGGGATAGGCCATTTGGATACAGTCCTTGTGTCACTGCAAGGTTGTCCAGCCTTCGCTTAAAGGCGTCCACAGATGGTGCCATAGCTACATCTGCCGGTAAGGAATTCCAGGGACGGCAAACCCGCAGGGAAAAGAAGTGGGAGCGCACCCGGGTCCTTGCCCTCTGATGAGCTATCCTTCTGGGATTTCCACGAGGGAGCCTATACCTACTCAATGGCAGAACACCTTTGTTCGGGTGATTCTGATCATTTGTTATTTTGTAGGCAGTAATTAAATCCCCCCTCAGGCGACGGTAACTGAGTGTGAATAGGCCTAATTTCTTCAGCCTTTCGTCATATGGTTTATTTCGGAGACCAACCACTCCTTTTGTTGCCCGTCGTTGGGCTCTTTCCAAGAGGTTGGCGTCTCTTTTAAGCAGTGGGGGTGCAATGTTATTATGCACTTCAAGATGCGGTCTGACGTATGTTTTATACAACCTTAGAAAGAGCTCAGGAGTGAGTGCACCTAATTGTCTATGTGTAAAGTGTATGACCGCATATGCCCTCGCTACATCCCCCGTGTAATTCACGCTTGTGTCCATTTTCTCCGTTAGAACTAGACCTAAGTCACGTTCCGACGTTGAGCAGGACAAGCTTTCATTGCACAGGGTGTAACTTGCATTCTGCAGTCTACAGGTGCGTAACTTCACTACTTTGCACTTTTTCAGGTTGAAAGTCATTCCACTGGTTACCGCCCAGTCTTCCAGAAGCCTTAGATCTGCCTGCAGCCTATCTGAGTCCTCCGGACACTTTACCGCCCTCCATATCTTTACGTCATCAGCGCATAGAAGAGTCTGGCAGTTTAGACGGCATGGTAAATCATTGATAAAAATCAAGAACATCAGTGGTCCCAGGATAGAACCCTGCGACACTCCTGATGACGAGCTGTGCCAAGATGATCGGACTCGATTGACCTTGGTGCAAAATTGCCTTTCAGTTAGGTAGTCCTTCAACCATGACAGAAGTGGTTTACCTAGACCTACCTGGCTTATTTTGTGTAGGAGAAGGTCATGGTGAACAGTGTCAAATGCCTTCTCAAAGTCTAGAAAGATCACATGGACAGGAACATTCATATCCCAGCATGATGTCCAATCGTCCCAAGCTGATAATAAGTTAGTGACGCAGGATCTTCCTTTCCTGAAACCGTGTTGGGCTTCATGGAGTATTTTAGACCTATCCAGATATTCCCTGATGTGATCATCAACAATACTTTCCAGTACTTTCGATACCATTGGGAGTAGAGCTACTGGTCTATAACTGGTGGGATTTTGCCTATCCCCACCCTTGAAGATCGGAGAAAGGATGCTTCTTTTCCATTCCTTTGGCAGTTTCCCCGATTCCATGGAGTGTTGGAACAAGTCGCATAAAGGCCTACAGAGAGCTTCGGCGCACTGTTTCAGAACAGATGGCCTGATGTCATCACAACCTGGGGACTTCCCAGGTATAAGTCGCTGCAGCTTTCTCAGTACTATTGCAGGGTTTATTTGAGGGGTGGCTATTTGGTCTTCCTCCTGTGAAATAGTCATGCCACCATTTTGGTTCGTAACGGTAATACCCACATTGCTGTTTAGCTGTTTGGCGAAGGCTAAACTGAATGTTTCAGCCATCTCCAGACTAGTGAGATATTGACCGTTTTGGCCTACTAAGGCGCAAGCCCCTTGGTTGGTTGGTTTCCTTTCCGACATGAATCGGTACAAATTCTTCGGGTTTGCCAGGAGTTTTTTAGCAAGGTTAGCCTGGAATGACCTTCTGTCCCTCCTGACTCTTGCATTGCACCGGTTCCTGAGTTCCAGGTATGCATCATGGTCGATCTGGCTTCTAGATACGCGCCACGTAAACCAAGCCTTCCTCTTTGCTTGCAGAATACGCTGCGTGCCTCTCTTTAACCATGATGATTTTCTTTTTGGCTGTGCTGTGACTAAAGGGTTGGTATCCGAGATCGCTGTATGAGTAATCTTTTTTACAGCTTCCCAGTGTTCATCCACAGACAGCTCATCCCATGCTAAGGGCCAGTCTGCATCGAACAAGAGCCTCCGCATTTCAGCGTAGTCAGCCTTGCTGCAACACAGACATGGTTGCGTAGCGTCCCACTGCAAGTGCTCACGGAGAACGAGGTCGAAACCTATGACTGCATGGTCACTACTTCCTAGAGGAGTCATGACCTGGACCTTTTCGACGAGTAGTTGGTCACTAGTTAGAATGTAGTCTAGTTTTGATGACTTTCCACTAGGGCCCCACCTAGTGTCGTCTCCAACATTCTCAGTCAGTCCCGTGTCCCGAATAGCTTGCAGTAGATTTCGGCCGAATTTTCCCTTAGCATACCACGAGCCAAGGTTCAGTGATGGGGCATTGAAATCTCCAGCAATGGTGATTTGGTCATAGCCCAAGTCTCGTATCCCTGTGATAGTGCTGAGCAGTAGCTGATTGTGCTCTGCCCCACAGGTGGGAGATCGGTAGATGCCACCAAGTAAATGCTTGGTGTGGCCTACGGTGAAATGACACCATATGGAGTCTGGGAGTTCAATAAGTGGTGGGTCCGTTGCGCGAACACATTTAAGTTGCCTGTCAAAGTATATGGCAACTCCCCCTCCTTCCTTATTGTCCCTGTCTCTCCTGACCAAAACCATATCACCTATACTGATTTCATTATCGGCGATAGTGGGGGTTAGCCATGTTTCGGTGAGAATGATTATTTTCAGTTGTAGGTGTGCTTGGAGATTTCGGAGTTCACCTATTTTTACTCTCAGCCCCCTCACATTGCTATACAGGCAGCTGACAGTGAGTCTTACAACCTCAGCGTGTTGTGGGGTAGTTGACGTGAAGCTATCTGCTGGTAGGGAACTTAGTGTTGGGACTAATTGGCCAGTTCCGATGGAACCGGCCCATTGTGGTTTTTTCCCTTGGATTTAGGCAGGACACTTGGGTGGCACAGACTGTTATTCTCAGAACTGCATCGCTCGAGTGTCACTGAAGCTTGGGGACGTATTAAAGCCTCAGTTTGCTGCCTCCTTATGGTTCGAGGTCTGCTTTCGCAACATCGGATGTGTCCTCCCATTTTCCCCTTGATCTCATACCACCGTTGAAGTGTTATGGCCAACTGCTCTGGGGAGTCGAATGTGACACTAAGCAGCTTTGGGGAGCTAATCAGTGTGAGATGAGTGGGGCGAGGTAGTCGGTAAACGGAGATGGCTCCAGAAGCGCCAAGGGCCATCTGAGACGACAGTCATCTCCACTGCCGTACGTCATGCATGTGTTTTTCACAGGCAGTGCCCGTTTCCAGCTCCGGGACACCGTGCACTACCATAGAGGTGGAAGGCAAAAGTTCCGGTGACTCCCTTGCCATTTGTCTGACAGCCCATGGTCTGTCTTGTCTCACCCTTATGTTAGAGCTTCTGTCGATGGCTAGTACCTGAGCCATCAATAGTACCTTTTTGGCCTCTTCGGCAGAGTCCAGTGTAACCCGTAATGGGGGTGGCTTACCTTGAGGTGTGTGGACACCCCTGTACAGCCTGCGCAATTTCACTGAACTAATATTCAGACCTAGTTTATTGCACAGGTTGGACCACTGTTCCTGATCAAACAGGGCCCGCTGTTCAAGTAAGCTGTCCTTGCTCACAGGTACGTTAAAGAGGATGAGCGAATTAGACCGATTAACCTCAGACTTAGGTTTGGCCTTTGGCTTCTCATATTCCTTTGCAGCATCAGCAACTTTAGGCTTCATCGGGTTCTGACCAGCCTTTATTGTGTTGCCAAGCTTGCTTGTGGATGCAAGTGGTGTTTCTCTAACTCTATCTTTCCTTGATTTTTTAGGTCCAACCTTATGAATCTTCACCTTGTGAAAATTGGCATTTTCGGTCAGTAGGACAGGAGTGTCCTTCTTACTGTCTGTGCCAAGTTTTGGCAATGTGACGTTAGCAGTTGGGGAGCTACATAAGACCGTGTTGGGACACAAGGGCGGCGTGTTGTTTCTGCTAACCGCAGACACGCTCTGTGTGACTACACCAGGGCGACAGAGTGGACAGATGTACCAAAACCACGGGCATGGGTTATTTCTCATAAACTCGTAGTATGATTTCGGTACCTCTTTGTCGCAACGGCAGTGCACCCACCGTTTGCAAAAATTGCATTCGAAAGCTGAGTCAGCTTTAGAAACAATGATATTGCACGCCTGGCACTCGTCTCCCTTACTTGGTGACGCCTTCGAGGTCTTATGACGTCTTGAGCGTTTCCTTTTAGGTTTGTTGTACTTCACACATTGGCTTTCAGTTGGTGCAGGTGTAGTAGTATCCTGTCCTACTAGTATTGCCTGAGCCGTTTCAGTACTAGACTGTGGCATTGCAGGCATAGTATCCGGACAGACGAGTCCTACACGGGTCTTTAGGATGGGTATGCGATTTGGGGTTGGTGTCCCTGCGTTTTTGCCTT